TTCGACACCAGACACACCATTATTATTTGAGACTTTACCCCAACACTCAGATCTGCTGAAAAGGCAACAGTAGTCAATTTGTGTTCTATTGCTGGTTATGAATAACATATAACGTCGCGTGGCTGCAGCTGGGCCATGTGATTTTGAAATCCTGAAATTTTAACACTTAAATCTGGAGGGATTTCTGCCAAAAGCCACTGGGTTTCGAGATTTGCTCCTGAGTCTCTGGGATAATGGCCATTGAGCAGCTTGATCAGGAGCCAGAGAGGCCATTTGTGGGCGATGACTTGGGGTCTCATTGGGGTGGGGAGGACAGCCCCAGCTCCACCCCATCCTGTGAGGCCCAACAAGTTTCGTTACTGTGGACCCAGACCTGACTGTCCAATGGCCTCTGGAGGATGACGGCCACCAAGCCGCCAAGGGGGAACAGGCGGAGGGACAACACCCTTTCCCCCCTGGGGTGGCCCAGCAACAGTAACCTACTGTGTGGTTCGAACGCATTTCTGCCAAAAGCCGCTGGGTTTTGAGATTTGTTTCTGAGTCTCTGGGATCAAGGTCATTAAGCAGCTTGATCAAGAGTCAGAGGGGCCGTTTGTGGGCGATCACTTGGGGTTTCGTTGGGGTGGGGAGGACAGGCCCGGCTCCCCCCCACCCCCGCCATCCTGCAAGGCCCAACAAGTTTCGTTACTGTGGACCCAGACCTGACTGTCCAATGGCCTCTGGAGGATGACGACCACCCAGCCGCCAGGCGGAAGCAGGAAGAGGGACAGCACCCTTTCCCCCCTGGGGTGGTCCGGCGACAGTAACCTACTGTGTGGTCCAGACGCATTTCTGCCAAAAACCACTGGATTTCGAGATTTGTTTCTGAGTCTCTGGGATCATGGCCATTAAGCAGCTTGATCCAGAGCCAGAGAGGCCGTTCGTGGGCAATGACTTGGGGTCTCGTTGGGGTGGGGAGGACAGGCCTGGCTCCGCCCCCCACCCCCCATCCCACGAGGCCTAACAAGTTTCCTCACTGCGGGCCCAAGCCTGACTCTCCAGTGGCCTCTGGAGGATGACTGCCACTGAGCCGTCAAGAGGGAGCAGGCGGAGTGACAACACCCTTACCTCAAAAGGGCAGAAAAATTTTACCAAAAAAAAGCAAGTGAATAAACTGGAACTAAAAACAGTCTAAAGTTTCTAGTATACAACATAAACAGACACTAAATATTTTCAAATTGAAGTTAAATTCTTTTGTATTCTCTTGGTCGAATACTCTTAGCTACTGCTGAGCTTTGTTTATCCCCAAGAAAACATTCTTATCTAATTCCTTTATTTAAATACCTATTTAATCAAAATTATGACACAGAATTTAAGAACCAATCCTTTTTCAGTGCCTGATAACTATCACAGGTTACAGTTTGACCTGAAACCAGCCAATGGTCTGGGGTGATAGGCAGCTCCCTACTCCCACCCTCCAAATACATGAACTGATCCACTAATGTAGCAAACATGTACCGTTCCCAGCCAATCCTTCACACCCTAACGAGGTCACGGGTTGCCCCCCACAAGCTCTTCGGCACGGCCATGGCTCCAGAAGCACAAGGACTTAATACAGAGCCCGGCTGCTTGCGGCAGAAAAGTGAATGGACTACAAGTTGATCCACAGCACCATGCCTCCAGAGCCACAGAAACCAATGTCATAATTATCTGGCTCTCAGAAGAAATACTTCCAGGCTTAATAAGTAAAATATCAGAAATCCAAAATCGTGCAGCCGCAATAGCACCCACACGACATCATTTGGTTCTTGTAACCAGCCGTAGAGAACAAATTATTTCACAATGCCTTTTCAGCAGGTCTGATTTTGGGGTGTAAACTCTAAACAATAATGGTGCATCTTTTATAGAAACAATGAACCTAATCAAAGTAGATAGAGTGCTAATTAGAATTCATCTGCCTCACAGGCATTGGGAGGGGTGGGAGGGGGGTATATTGGGGTTCTTGGTGGTGAAAAACAAGTACTGGTGAAAGGAAATGTGTTTGATCATTGCATGACCGAGACTTAAACCTGAAAGCTTTGTAACTTTTCTCACAGTGATTCAATAAATAAATTTTTAAAAAATCAAATAAAAATAAAAACAAAATGCAAAACCCCAGGAGGATGAAAGCAGATTGAAAGCTTTAGGGAAAAACTGATCAGAAAGAAGTAAGAGGGTGGGGCAGGGAGCCTTCAGCAGAAGTGTTTCGGGGGCAGGGGGAGGGAAGCAATTGCTGGGTAATTTGACTTTGTACAGGAAAACAACTATATTATTGGGGTGAAGCCATGGCTACAGGAGTAGAGCACATACCTAGCATGTTCACAGCAGCACTGTGTGACACCAGCATCACAAGTCCTCCAAGTGCCAATAGGGAGCACTAGTGGTACCAAGTACTTAAAAAAAAAAATTAACTACACTTTTTAAAACAGACAAAGATAAAATGAACTCAAATCATTGACACAATCAAAAATCCCTTCCTATGAACTAAAAACACCATTCATGTAGTTCCAATATGTTTCAAAAATACTGAAAAGTACTCAGCTTTTTTTATCCTAATAACTTTTCCATGTCCTTTTCAGCCTTTTATATGTACTCTCCTTTGCCCTGCCAGCCACACAACAACCAACAGTCAAAAATCAGAACTCTGTCATCTAATATAGTGCTCTCCACAGTGATTTCAATGTTAGTGACAACCAAATCTCCACTGTAATTTTCAGTCCTTTTTATGTTTACATTGCACTGGTGCTTAAAAGTCAACACATGGAGAGCCCCTGGGGCTGCCGAAAGTAAAGAAGTGCAAATGTCAGCTTCTTCTTTGAAGAGAAAGAAGAAATACAGATAAAATATTTGACACCCAAGGCAATGATCAACTTCTTCGATTTATCCAGTGTCAGGAAGTAATGATTTAAGTTACCTCAAAATCCAACACTAGAGATCAAAATCGCTGAGTTATTTAGAAGGCTTTTTATAGACATCTGGAAATTATTAAGACACATTGGCTAAAGAGAAATATTTTAGGAAGAAGATCTAGGAACCTTAGAAATACCCCTATGCTGTGCCATGTATATACTCCTTTTATACTTTAAAGGTAAAAGGTAAAGGCCCTCCCGTTGATCGTCGATTTGCTCAAGCGGGCCCAGTAACGTCTCCATTGGAGACTTTGTTGTTACTGTGTCTGGCATATCGAATACTCTCGGTAGCTTGCCGGGCTCTCCGAGAGGGGCGGAGGAATCGAACTCCCGTCGGCCATGTTGGCCACTTGTAAGGCAAACGCCCTACCCGCTGTGCTATCGCTCCAGCCTTATACCTTACTAGGGAAAAAGCAACATAACTTTGAGTTTTTGTTTTTCTATTTTGTTTACGAGCCACATCTGGAATTGCTCAGAGCTTACTTCTGGCTTTGTGCCAGGGATTACTCCTGGTGGTACTCTGGGGACCATATGCAGTACCCCTATATGATGGCTATAAGAACTAAATAAAGACACGGTGTAGCTCAGCAGTAGAGCACATATATACCCTGCATATGTAAGGGGCTTGGTTCAAGTCCCAGCAATACATACACATGCATACATAAATAAAACATATTCATGGTACTAACAAAAATGCTTACACTTAAATTTTCAAAAACTGTTAACTAAGGTACTAGTATCCAAAAGTCAAGACTTCTAACAGTCTGTCACTGATAGGACACTTATAAATGGCTTTGAATAGGATCTATGAGTACTTTGTCCCAATACAATAAGTAAAACAAAACTTACTGAGTGCTTATTATGTGCCAGGCACTGCTCTAAGACCACAAACTAAGTGAATTAACTCCTCAATTTTTGAATCAGTAACATGGGTAAAATTTATTTTCCCATTACAGCAGCAAAGAAAATAAGGAGCAACATAAACTAATCACACAACTACTAAGTGCTGGCACCAGAATTTGGTTGTCTCAGTGGCTCCAAGTTTTTGGTACTCTCATGTAATTTTCTCTGAAAGAGTTATCATTTGTACTTCTAACATACATTTAATATACTGCACAGAATCACTTATAAAACTTCATTAGGCAACTAACTTTTTATCTTTCTATCTTTCCCTGAGTGCCTGACTAAATTAAGCATAACAGCCACTCAAAGGCTACCAGAATCGATGAAAAGCAATACAGGAGTTCAACAATCGCATGTGCCCTTCCAATCCATCCCCTACCTCAGACCCATCCCCTCCCCACTCCAGGGGGTCTTCTTGTGTCCTAAACTGCCAGTAGATTCCCAGCTCTCTGCTTTCACTATGGTGGCCCATTAGTTTCACAATCATTTGTGAAGCACCTACAATGTGACAGTTACAATGAATATGCACCAGAAAAAATATATATATAAATGAAACAGTAAATTAGTGGGGACGTGGAGGTGGTGAGATTTCAAGAGTTTGTGGTTCAAATAACAGGTTTTACCAATGTGAACGCCTAAGTTTCGATTGTATCGTGGTCACTTAAATAAAGTCAACATTATGGGAAACTCCGTGAAGAGTAGACCAAAACTTTCCAATTCTTTGCAGCTCTTTAATAGACCTAACACTGTGTCAAGATTAAACCAAGGAAGAAGGGGGATGGGGGGGGGGGGGAAGGGGAAGAGTTCCTGCCTCCAGGAACTCTGATGCTGGAGGGAAACACTGTACACGTACAGATTGCTGTAGATGTACAGGTGCACACGTACAGATTGCTGTGCATGTACAGGTGTACGTGTACAGACTGCTGTGCATGTACAGGTGTACGTGTACAGCGAGTGGTGGCTCAGACCAGACCGGAGCGGGTGCAGAGGGGTGTTCCCAAGCCTGAAGATTGAGGGCACGATCGCCGTGGCCTGAGCAGACGCAAGGACCAAGCAGCTCCCACGTTCTTTACACCCAGTTTATCCTCAGGTGCACAGGGGGACCGGGGCACCCGCGCGCGGTCTCGCTCTTGCAACCGCGGGACGCCGTGGGATCCTCCTGTGACCCACCTGGAACTCCAGGCCGTAGATGACAGGCGCGTCGTCCTCCATGCTGGGGCCGCTCACTGACCTGAGACAGGTACCTAAGTCCCCAGATCAACGCCCATTCATTTCCTCCCCAAACCGCGACGCCGGATCTGCTCCTTTGCGGCCCACCCCGGCTCCCGTAGGAATTACTTCCTGTGTTTTTCGGAAACGTCATCAATCCGCTCCACGTCCCGGGCCAATGGAAGCGGCCGGGATTCGTGCGCATGCCCAGTTAGCTTGCAGGCTGTTGCTCAAACCTGAAGGCTGCAGGATTGAGGATGCAGCAACGTAAAGGCTGGGGCGTGGTGAGGCCCCAGCTCGTGGTTGTTCATAGTTCAAAAGTCTCCGGCTTAGCGCCCTCCCTGCCCCTTACTTCCACAATTTCTCGCCTGGGAATGTCACATTTCCGTTTGTTAAGCTTTGGTACCTGGCCAAGCACTAGGTTAATGCCTTTGTGCACAATTTTATGTTCTGTTAAAATAGGACAATTAAGGGCACAGAGGGAAGAAGTTAGAGAGCTGAGACACCTGTGTGTCAGGCTCAATCTGCCTCACCCACAACTCTCAAAGTTCTAGTCCAGGGAGAGGAAGTTTCTGCAGGTGCTCCAGTGGTGAATGATACCTGACCCATCTACTGGCTTTATCCACCTTTGTCTCTGAATGGGAATCTGCCAGAGAATCTCTTGGATTCCAGAGTGTATCTAAGTAAACTGTCACCGTGCATAACTGTATTGCCTTTTTTAGACATTCCTAAAATGTCTTCTTTAATATTAGGCTGTGCACCTAGCAGGCGAGTGACATTGCGTGGAGTCCCAAAATGCTGTAACTGGGCCCCCTCCGTTTATCTACTGACTTTCAGCACCGTGCTCCCTTCGAGCTGTGTGTTTTGTTTTTTTTTTACTTCTTTCTGCTCTGGATTGATCTATGTGACAAATGGGTCTGAACTGCTCCTTGTGACAGATGGGTCGTCATTGATCTGTATGACAAATGATCTGAAACATCAATGAAAAGATACTCCGCTTACTTAATTTTAAGGGGAATGCAAACTAAAACCATGATGAGCTGTGTCACCTACACTTGTTAGGATGGCTATTACCTAAATCAAAAGCTAAATTTTGGCAGTGTAAGATCTTCTCTCAAAGATCGTCAGATAGGCTTGCCCCAAAATGTCCAGAGCAGGATGTTTTCTTTCCCTCTCTCATCTTTTCCCTTGGGGGAGGGAAGGAAGTGACTAGAGGGACTTTCCAAGCAGTGTACTAGTATTGGGGATTGACAGTTCAATGCTGGGACGGAGCAATATGATACTTAGCAAGCTTGATTTGGTGTTGCTGTGGTGTCATCAGGATACACTTGGTATTCTCTGTGGGCCCTGAGTACAAAGATTAGGACTCAGGTTCTTTGTGCTATGTCCCCAGTCCTAAACAGGAATTTTCTACTATCTAGGTATGGGTAACTAAGACCAATAAAGGCCATATGGGCATTAGGAAAAACTTAACCATAAAAAATGAAAATTACCAATATGAAAACATCTCAAGAAATCATCTTTATTTGTGAAGCCTATATTAAGAGAAGTATCTAGAATTTTTCATATAATGTCATCTCCACTTTGTCATATGAGATCTCGCCTCCTGTCTTATGCTGTAGCCCATATCCATTCCTTAGCTCAGTACATAGAGTCCAACTGTGTTCCATTTACTTTAGAAATTAGAGTCATATATATGTACATACATTAACATACATCATTAACTTTTTTGCTCACTGCCTGAGAAGAATCCAGAAGTGTGGAAGATTGTACTGTTTCACCTCAACAACAAACTGTTGCTGGAACCAGGGAACCAATGCCAGTGAGCAGGGTTGAAGTATGGGCATCACTGAGGGTTAAGAAATAAGAAAGAAATGAGAGTTAAAAGAGTGGGGTCAGGGGAGCAAACAACCTCGCAGGCTGAGGTCTCTGTCTCCCTCAGAACATAATTATTGCCTTCCTCCAGGAAACTGGACCAGGAAATAACATTCTTGGGGGAAAGGGGTAACAGTATTCTTTGATTATAAGCATAATTATTCTTATAAGAACTATAAGTTTCTACACTGTCTGGGTCATTTGGGACAAACACCTTCCTTGTAGGCTCTTTCTAAGGGGGTTGTTTTCTCATAACAATAAAGTCAGACAAACATGGAGCAGTCACAGGACCACTGCTTCAGTGGCATTCTGAAACAGCTGATGCCTACCCTTAGTTCCCAAGAGATATGGAGAAACAGAAACATTGATACATCATGCTGGGCATATAAATTAGTGTGACCACTATAGAAAACAACATGGAGTTTTCTCCCAAAGCTTAAACATAAACTAACTACATAATCCATGTGTTTCACTTCTAGAACCCAAACAAAATAAAATAGCTGTCTCAAAGAAAGCTGAAATTTCATGTTCATTGAATTATTCACAGTAACCTGGATATGGAAACAGCCTAAGTGTCTAATAATATTAATGCATAAGCAAAATATAGTGCATAAGTATATTTGTATATAAGCATGTACACATATGAATGGTTGCAGAGAAAGAGATTTAGGCTGAGAGGAATGGAAAATTAAAGTGGGTTTATTGGGGGGGTGAGTTTCACAGATTTCAAAAGAGGCCAGCAAAGTCATTCCCAGTAGGAGTCTGCATGGACTTCTTAGAGGGCATGTTACTGGGAAGAAGGGGTGGAACAGACTGAGGGAGTAAGAGCTTCTGTGCAAGTTGTTTCCAAAGAGGAGCTTCTGTGAAAGCTCCAGGAATTCCAAAATGATAAAGAAAAAATCTCTGGACAATTTCATAGGCTTTGTCTGCAGGTGCTCACCAGTGGTTCCAAAGTTCCCTTTAACCCAAAACCCCCTGGGCCTACCCAACAACATGGAAAACTATTCAATATAAAAGAAGAAAAGAACTATGTACTATCATCTAGTTAGAAATAGAATGACAGCAGGGGTGTGGAGAGGAGGAACTGTTGAGGAAAAATACAACTTTTAATTATACAAAATGTAATTACCTAATTCGAGCGGGCCCAGTAACGTCTCCATCGTGAGACTTGTTACTGAGACTTGTTATTGTGTTTGGCATATTGAATATGTCACGGGGAGCTTGCCAGCTGCGCGCAAGGCAAACGCCCTACCGCTCTGCTATTGCTCCATTATCTGATGTGGGTAGGGCATTTGCCTTGCAAGCAGCCAATATAGCCGACCCAAGTTCAATTCCTCTGCCCCTCTCGGGGAGCCTGGCAAGCTACCAAGAGTATCTCACCCCCACGGCAAAGCCTGGCAAGCTCCCTGTGTTGTATTTAATATGTCAAACACAGTAACAAGTTTCAGAATGTTACTGGGCCCATTCGAGCAAATCAATGAACAATGGGAGAACAGTGACAATGACAATTACCTAATAGTGACTATAATAACTATATGTATTCTATATTTGAGGTGTGTTGAGAGTAGATCTCAACACATACCTGCAAGTGGGACACATTAGATTAGTTCAACTGTAGTAATCACCTAATAGGTCATGGTTATGGTCCTCCCGTTGTTCATCGATTTGCTTGAGCTGGCCCAGTAACATCTCCATCATGAGACTTGTTACTGTGTTTGACATATCGAATACGTCACGGGTAACTTGCCAGGCTTTGTCATGCGGGCAAGATACTCTCAGTAGCTTGCAGGGCTCTCCAAGAGGGGCAGAGGAATCGAACTCGGGTTGGCCATGTTGGCCACTTGTAAGGCAAATGCCGTACCACTGTGCTACCGCTCCAGCCCTATCACCTAATAATATATGCACACATATAAAATATCTTTCACCATAAATGCATGTTATTATTAAAAGTAAATTAGAAAATGTATAATTAAAAACAAAAAGTGAGTACTGTTCAAGTATGGCTTTAACTCAGTTTACTCAGTTGTTTGCTGGAGCTTAGCACATCTGGCACACAATTAATGCTGGATGTGTAAGTTTTGGAGGAATGAGACGATGGTGATTGCAAGAGAACTCAAGTAAAGAGAGGCACAGTCACCATAATCCTTTCAAAGACTGTCTGAGATTAACTGGCGGAGCTAAGAAAAAGCAGGTCTTCATACTTCTAGATTAAGTTCATCACCTATTACATAGCATTGTTACTACCACCTTTATAGGTAATATCGTTACAGAAGTGGTACAAACACACAGCAATAAATGCAACAGAAAAATCTGGCACAAAAACAAATTCCTAAAAGCAATTTCTGAGGTGCTTTGGTCAGCAATGAAAAGAGTCTAACTGTCCCCTTCCACCTGCCCTAGTATTCAAGTTTGCCAGAACTCCTTAAGAGTCACAACACCCCAGAGGGATCGCTTGGGATGGGACATGTGTGCTGAAAGTAGATAAAGGACCAAATACGATGACCTCTCAGTATCTGTATTGCAAACCATAATGCCTCGAAAGTAGAGAGTAAGAAGAAAATCATTTGCTATAGAGGCAGAGGGTGTGGTCGGGTGTGTGTGTGTGGGGGGGGGGGAACAATGGGGACACTGGTGTGGAAAATGTACACTGGTGGAGGGATGGGAGTCCAATCATTGCATGACTGAAACTCAATCAAGGATGTTTTGTAACTATGTTATAGTGATTCATTTAAAAATAATAATAAATAAATAAAATGAAAAATAAAATACAACTACAAAATTAAAAAAAAAGGTCACAACACCCTTGGTCAGTTCCAGGTGTGGTTCCAGATATGACATCTTACTGGACTTGCCCCCAACATCCAGGAAGTCCCCGCCCCGGTTCATACTTGGCAGCCCAGACCCCGCCCACTGCTGCGCGGACCGGAAACGCGCCCAGGCTTCCGGTCCCGGGGACCTCGGCGCGCTGCGCGCGCGCAGGCGCAGGAGCTGCCGCCTCCAGTCCCTCCTTCCTGGTTGCCTGCAACCTGCTTCCTGGACCTTAGTTACGGCTGCTGGTGACCCTCCCCTCCCCAGCCCCAGTGGGTGGGTGGCAGGTGAGGATCAGGGCCCCCGGATATAAGGAGGTGGTCGGGCTGTCCTTCCTCCCAGAGCCCTGCAGGCCCTTTGCCTCTCCCGGGTCTCCCTCCCGAGGGCGCGCCCTTAGGAAGCATCCCATGGGGGAGATCCCTTT